CTTGCTTGTATTTCCCAAGCTTTCTACAGTGAATAAATATTAATCTGTTTTTAAGCCAAGCATGGTGGCATACACCTGTGATTCCAGGACTCAGGAGGCTGATGCAAGAGGACTGCTTTGAGTTTGAAGCCAGGCTGGACTACGTACCAAGTTCAAGGCCAGCCTGAACTATATATAGCAAGACCCTATCTCAAAAAAGTTTTTGAAAGTCTCCTCTGTTAGCAGGGAGATATTAAGGCATGGCTATTAATATGAACACCCCCCTGTACATCAGTCTGCCTCAGCTATTTAGATAACCTGGAAGAAAAATGCTTGATGGGTGACAAATGAAGGTTAGCAGCGTTCTTTTGTCTTGCAAGCTTTTCCCAGTCATCCACAGAAAGATTAGCTTTACTTATATTTCTTACAATTCCCAGTCCTTCCTTACACAGAATGTACCATCTCATCATATGATGTTTTCGTAGGGGAAGGAGCACTGGGGTGTGAACCCAGGCCCTTCACACTGAGTATATCTCCATCTCCTTTTTATTTTTTATTTTGAGACAAGATCTTGCTAAGTCACTAGACTGCCAAGGCTCGGCTCAAGCTTGTGATCCTCCTGCTTCAGCATCCCAGAATGCTAGGAATGCCAGCTGCCAGTGGAATGCTAGTCAAAAAAGGACGCTTAGTTTGACCCATCCAGAGTCTGAGGCCTATGGGAACTGTCTGCAGGAATCCCAGCCCACCACTTGTGGGGCTCTGTGGACATAGTCTACCCATGGGCCACTAGGCCTCAAGGTTTCCTTCTCCGCAGGCAACAGCTTGCCTGCCACTGCTTGTTGGCTAGAAAACAGAAAATAAGACTATGCTTCTAGCACAACATGGATGGTACCACTTCCAGGAAGCTTTCTGTTTCCTTCCCTGATCCCCACAACCCCTCCTGACAGGATCACTTCCCCCAAGGAAACATAGACCTTGTACTTTCCCTGGCCTCGCAGAGCAAACATAACCACTAATAATGCACGACTGGTAGGTACTGTGATAGTGCGTCACACACAGATGCTCACTCACATCCTGACTCTGCCTCTCAATTTGTGAGCCTCAGTTTCCTCGACTTTCAGGTGGAGATGGTAATCTTAGCAGCACAGAGCACTGCCCCCTCCCTGAACTCTTTGGGAACAGTCTGACAGTCCAGTCCTTGAGCTCATGTAACATGACTACGCCCAGAAAAGTGCCCGGCAGTGCAGCACAATAGAGATCCACCAAGCCCTGCCCAGTGACGGCAGCAGCCCCAGTTGTGGCCTCTCCAGCTGGACGTACAATGAGCGAAAGCCCGGGAATAGCCAGCAGCAGTGGCCAATGATAGCCCTTCCATCTTTTGGACAGAGTCATTGCCAAGAGAGATTAAGGACCCCGGTTCTGGACGCTGTGTCCCGGAGTGTGGTCGTAGGCATGTCCAAAACTGAACTCAGCTTCCTCTAAAATGTTTTACTCTTCCTAACCCTTATCATGGTAAACACCACCACTCTAGAATCCAAACTAGACATATGGGGCCATCCTGGTATAGTTTGGGATTTTGTTTTGTTTTGTTGGCTTGGTTTTCATACTGAGGTTTAAACCCAAGGCCTTCTTTCTGAACTATACCCCTAGCATCTTTTTTATTTTTTATTTTGGGACATGGTCTGGCTAAATTATTAAACTGCCCAGACTGGGCTCAAACTTGTGATTTCTCTTGCCTCAGCCTCCCAGAGTACTGAGATTATAGGTGTGCACCACCACACTGAACTATAGTTTGGATCTTGAATGTCCCTCTGCAAAGGGTCATGTGTTGAAGTCTTGGTCCCCAAGCTGTGGTGCTGTTGGGGTACATGTGAACCTTGAAGAGGTGGGCCTTGGGGCTGGGGATTTAGCTCAGCAGCACAGTGCCTGCCTGGCAAGCACAAGGTCGTGAGTTTGATTTCCGGTGGGGGGAGGGGAGGTAGGCCTCATACAAGGAAATGAGGTCATGGAGAATCAGCCCTTGAAGGGGATATTGGGATCCTATCCCTCCCTTTCTGTTTCCAGCAGCCATGAGGTAAACCAGCCTCCCTCACCCTGTGCTCCTGCTATGATGGACTAGGCCACCACAGGTCCAATGCTACAGGATGAAGCCACCATGGACTGAAATTCCTAAAATCAGGAACTAAAATAAAACTTTTGACCTTAAAGTTATTCTCTCAGGTATTTTGTCACAGTAACAGAAAGTCAACACACCTCCCTCTGTTTTAGACCTCCTGCTGAATCCATCACCAAGTCCTGTTGTCTCTGCCTCTCAAATCTATCAGCTTTAAAAATTTTTTAGTTTTGTTTTTGCAGTGCTAGAGAGTGAACCCAGGGCCTTGTGCACACTAGGCAAGCATTCTACCACTAAGCTACATCCCTAGCCCCTTCTTACACTTCTTTTATCCTGGTGCCACCACTGTAGTTCCTGCCACTACCCCCCTCCCTTGTGGCACTGCCACAGCCTCTCCTTTGCGGGTCTCCTTGCCTCCACAAGGCCCCACAGGAGACAAGCCTGCCTCCTGCTTCTGCGGAGGAGCCCTCAAGGGCTCTCAAGGTAAGAGGCAGACTCAGTAACTACAGTGCCACGTTGCCCAGCTCGGGCTGCTCCTTTTTGAACCTCATCTCTTTCCACTCCCTCGTGCTGTACAGTCTGCCTGAATTCTCTGCTCTCTCTTGCCTGCCTCATTTTGTCCGCACTATTCCATCTCACCAGCATCCTTTTCTTGCCCCCTTTTCTCCTAGTCTAGTTCTTGCTTGTGTGTTAAGGCCTAGCACAGGTTTCTGTTCTTCCCATAGACTGTTTCGCGCTCCACACACACACCCCAAACTAGACCAACTGCTCTCACTGCCAACGCGTAAGGGAGCGCTGTTCCAAACACCAGATGCCAACTCATGACAAACCCTGTGCCTAGATAATCCTGTGATTCTTCTCTTAGAGATAAGGAAACAGACTTAGGGAAGTTAAAGCAAATACTCCATTGTCAAACAAGTGTCTCAGCAGCACTGAATCCAAGGTCTATATAATTTTTTTAATAAAAAAAAAGTTTTTTTCTTTTTTTGAGACAGTTTCCTATGTTGCTCAGGCCAGCCCCAAAGTCTTGGGCTCAGGAAACCCCTGGGACTAGAGAGGCCTGTACCACCATGTCTGGCTTGGCATTTTCTGATCATAAGGACACCAGAAAAAGTAAGAATGCCTCCTCTTCAGTCTAGCTATATAAGCACTCAATCAAATCTCATCAATGCACCAACTCCCCACAAAGACTGTGATCACTGTATACCGCAAATATGTACTAATAAAAAATTAAAACTGAAAAAAATAATAACCTCTCTCTATGCCTGCAGATAAATATTTTTCATCACCAATTGCTCACCCTCCTGCTCCCCAGCAACCTCCTGCAGGACAGATGGTCCTCCTACAGGACAGGGATGTGTGCCCGAATCACACCTGCACTCAACAAGTGCGCTTAGCACAGGCCGAGCCTCTGGCTTGGGGCAGCCTAGGGATTCCCGCATCCTCTACCCCATCTGCCCCAAATCGTTCACCAGCCGCGTATCTGCAAATCTCCTTCCCCAAATCTCAGGTAGGGACCTCAAGATCAGGGTCCCTCCTGCTCAAACTGCCTGCTCTCACCCCGCACTCCGAGTCGAACTTTTGGTGACTCGAGAGGCGCTTGCAAGACGTGGGCTTCCTCTCCCTCCCCGCATCGGGCATCGTTAGCCACAGCCCTGCCTCAGACTCCCACATTCACACCCCTCCTCGGCCGGCCGGCCGGCCTCGGGATCCCAGCGGGAAAGGCACCCTCCCCCCTCCCGAGCCGCCAGGGCCAGCAGAGGCGCTTCCAGTCCGGCCAGGCGCCGGGTGCGCCTGTCTACGGAAAGAACTGAAAGAAATCCCGTGAGTAAATCCGGAGCGGATTTGCATCACGCAGCGTGCTGAAGGCTCGCTGCGGCCCAAGCTCCAGAGCTAAGGACGCCTCCTCCTTCCCACCACCGCCCAGAGCCGAGCAGGGAGGAAAAGGAGGAAACCTGGCTTGGGATGACTGCTAGTAATCTCCAACCAGATCTCAGGGCCCTCCTAGAGTGAGATGGGACTGAGGCTGTGTGTGTGTGTGTGTGTGTGTGTGTGTGTGTGTGTGTGTTGAATTAAAGGAAACTGCCAGTGCCTGAAATGGTGATAGCCCAATAATTCCCATTCTACCCGTTAAAACTTTTCCAGCAATAAACTGGACGTGGTTATACAAACCTATATCCCAGCACTCAGCAGGCTGAGGCAGGAGGATCACCTTACATTCAAGGCCAGCCTGGGCTGCATAGTGAGTTCAGTGCTAGCCTGAACTACATAGCGAGACCCTGTCTCAAAACAAAACATTTATAGTTATAGTCACCTCAGGTACCAGTAGCAGCTACCCAGGGGCCCTCATTTCCCTGGGGTCTACATCTTAGTAACTACTACCTTCTCATAAAGCACAGGCAGTCTGGGCCTCAAGTGCTGGCCCTGGCTGACCTACTGCCCATCCCCTCTAGCCACATGGGCCAACCTGGCAGGGCAGTTCCTTCATCCCACACAGTGGATCAGTGCTGGCTCTGAGCTTCTGCTCAGGCTGTTTCTCCCTCAGAAAAGTCTCTTTCCCACCTGCATCAGCTAAAATTTTGCCAGTTCTTTGAACCTAGCTTAAAAACCACCTTTGCAGCCCAGTGTAGTGATGCATGCCTAGAGTCCTAGTTACCCAGGAAGCCGAGGTGGGAGGACCGAGTGAGCACAGCAATTCAATACCAGCCTGGGCAACATAGTGAAAACAGACAACATCTGAAAACAGAGAACAAACAACAAAGCAAAACCAAACCCACCTGCGCATCTTCTAGGCAGCCTCTGGCCGGTCCATGCTTCTGCTTCTCTAAGCTCTCAGTGTGCAGGCTGAACCTCTTGCTTAGCCTTAATATCTTTCTCCGTGTAACTACCGCCTATTTTTTCCTATTAGGCTGCAAGCTCTCAAGAACAAGGACCAAGATTGATTCAACTTTGTGTCCTCAGCGCCAAGAGGAGTGTATGGCAGGGACAGCAGTGGCTGCGGGGTGAACTCTGACAAGTCCTGCTCCCTTCCTGAACCTCAGGCTCCTCCTTCACCTTGACATTAAAGGTCTGGATGAGACAACCTCCTCCAAGGCTGCCTCCAGCTCTTCCTCTGAGCCAGTGACTTCCTGGATCTCTCGTGCTCCTATGAGGACCAAGCCTTGGGCAGGGGTCAGGAGTACATCTGAATCCTCCACTTCCTCTGGACCAGTTGAGAGAGGCAACTGTACAAGGTTGCTGGGAACCTCAAGGTAGTGGACCTAGTGTGAACATACCATGATACTGTCCCATCAGGAAAGTCCCAGTGCCCCTGGCTCCTGAGACCTGTCAACCAACTCCAACTGGGGGAGGGGAAACCAGCCCACCCCAGAAAGTGAAGCAACCCCCACTTTTTACAGCCCCCTACAACATATACACCCTCTCTCCAGGAGCAGAGGAAGCAGCGTGTCAACACCCTGAAATCCACTCTGAACTACCCCAGTCCCCTCTCCAGCCTCCTCACTTCCGTCCCAGCCCAGCTGTCTCTAGTCTGGGCTAAGAGTACCGAATTCCCTTGAGCTTAAAGCTCAGGAAGCTGTAAGCCCTTATTCCACACTAACCTAAATGGAACTCACCATCTCTCAGGATCCACCACATCTCCTTGAAACTCTCAGCCATGTGCTCTCATTTTACCTACTGAAGCTACATGGAGCAATGCTAACCTGAAACCATAGCCCCAGGTGTAGATAGACAGACCTGTGATTCTAGTTCTGTGACTCCCTAGCTGCGTAATCTTAGGCATGTTATTTACCCTCCCGGAGTCTCAGTTCATTCATCTATAAAATGGAAGCAATGAGGGCTTGGGGTATGGCTCAGTGGCAGAATACATACTTAGCATACTTGTATTCAACCCCCAACATCAGGAAGACAGAGGGCTGGAGGAAGGAAGGGAGTGAAGAGGGAGGGAGGGAGAGAGAAAGAGGAGAGAGCGGAGATGATTTATATACAGAGAGTGGTACTTGTGGACATTATATAATGTTTATGAAAATACTCATCACTGACATTGACATACAGGATGCCAAGTGTGAGCATTATTTCTATTCCACATTCCCTGCATTCTTCCCCGAAGCTGCCCGACACTTTCTGTGGAAGCTAAGTCTGGAGCTATCTGACTCTAAAACTGCCCTGGACAAAACCAGGACTACACAATACTAAAAGCTGCCCTCAGGACCCAATTATAGACTTCAAAAGGCAGAAAAGAAGACTTGCAGCCCAGAGAAGAGGCAGGCTTTGGCAAAGGTCACACAGCAGGTAAAGTAGCAGAACAGCAGGCAGGCAAGGAGAGGGAGGCAGAGGGGGTCTGAGTCGAGGTCACAGCAGGGGTAGTGAGCTGAGTCTATAGACGGGCAGCTGAGCAAGAGGACCTTCGGGTGACGTTGTGCCATTTCCCACACCCAGCAGGGCCTGGCATTTGCCTCTCCTTGGAACTGCTCCTCCGGGTTCCTGAGTTTGCAGTGGTTTCCCAGGAACACTAGGTAAATATCTCCATTGTTTGCTGAGTAACCAGCTCCAGGAACAAGACAAGGGTCCCCGTATGGGTTTGCCTCAAGGTTAGCTCCTGTTTTATCCATGTCCAGCTCCCTCCAGCACCACCTCACACAGGTAGCCTCAACAAGGTCCCCTCTCAGGGCCTCGCCACAGGCTCTGAACCCCACTGACTGGGTGGCTTTGGTATGCACCATGTAGCTTAGGGCTCAATATCTTTTTTGAAGAAAATCTGCTTCTCCCAGCCACCTCCCAAATAAAGCACGGAGCATGTTTGGTACCTGTCTGCCCCCCAAAAGGCCAGACATGGGTTGTTGCCCTCCAATGTCCTAAACAGTCTGATTAACCTTTGAAAATGTCCTTGGTTGATGTGAACCCCAACCATGAGGAAGCTGGAGGTGCTGGGCTGATGTATGTGTTAAGCTACTTCATGATTTTTTTCCTTGAGTCAAGGTTGTGCTGTATTGTCCAGACTGTTCTCAAACTCGTGAACTAAAGTGATCCTCCCTCCTGCCTTCTGAGTCCTGGGACTACATGTGGTGCATGTAGTTTTCTTTGTGTTTATAGTGTCGCTCTATAAGTTCCACTTGCCACACCCCTGCCCCTTATCTTCAGGAAGCAGGAATGTGTTCCCGGACTGACTTCTGTCTAGTTCATTGCAGGTTTATTGCTTCACTCAAACCTCATGTGTCTCAGGTTTTCTGCCCCTCTCCCAGAGTTCCTCCGCAAACTCCTTTGTGCATACCCAGGTTTAGACATCCCCTTGTAGGTAGTTCATTAATTGACTTCTCAAAACCTCCAACTCAAGAATACTCCAACGCTATGACCTGGGATTTGGTGATGCCACCATTCTGGATTCCTAAGCTTCTGAAACTCAGATTCTACCATGCTACAATTCTATGATGCCAAGATTCCATGACTGTGGACTCTATGTATCTAGAATTTCATAATCTTTTATTGTTTAATGAATTTTGTCATTGACATTGTAACATCGCCCTGGGTTTGTGTTTTCTAAAAGTTGCAAATCTCAGCGCTGGGCTCACTTCTCTGGGTCAGCTGAAGCAGAGGAAAGAGGGGGCTGAGTAGGAGATGGATTCCACTTTTCCTAGGGCGAGAGGGCAGTCCAATCTTAGGCCCTAGCACTGAGTCCATCCTATCTCTCCCAAACCACTCATTTGAGCTCCAGTATCTGAGCTAGCAGGAAAACCAGGCTCCTTTAGTCTTTCCTTTCTGGTCTAGCTCAGGATCCAGGGGGAAGAAAGCTTAGTAGGAGACTGGCCTGGCCAAACGGTTAACAGGGAAAAGAGGGTTAAGCACGTGGCAAGGAGCCAGTGTAGGCAATGTGAAGGTTCTTCCCCAGGGAGCGCTGCAGCCTTCCCCGGAGAGGAGGAAGGAACAGAGGCCGGAAGTGGGGGCCCTGGTAAGGGTGGGGTGACCGGTATTGCATTGTAGGGTTGGAGCTGGGCTTCCGGCCATTGACCCATTAGTAACAAAGGACGTCCAGCCTGCCACCTCAGAGGCTGTCTCGTCTGACCCCAACCCTCTGTATATTCCTGTCTGAATCACACTTCCAGAAGAATCCAAAGGGCAGGAGTTGGGGGATGGGGAACCTATTCTCATAGAATCCCTTCCTGGAAAGTCCCACTGAGGCCGAGAAAGGGGCCAGGACTTTTCCCAAGGATCACACCAGGGATTAGCATAGAACAAGGACTAGAACTCCAGGACCTTGCCTCCAGCCCAGAGCTGTTCCTCCTACACTCCAAAGGATTGGAAAAATCCAACCACCTGGTCGGTGAAACATAGGGGTAGAAGATACCCCCACCCCTGCCACCTGCCGAGGAGCAGTCTGGACCCCTCCTCCAGCTCTGTAGCACAAGTCTGAAGCTGCCAAACCAGATCTTCCGGTGGCTGCTTGAGGCAGACTGGAGCAGCAGCCTTCTTCAGTACAGACCCCTGCGCCACCATCCTCCTCCCCGCCACCTCTTGATGCCCCAGCCAGGCCTGAGCTCCTGCACCTGTGCCAGCAGTCCCAGTGCCACCACTTCCCCCTGCACTTGCCTGCCATCTCCCCTGCACTGCTCCCCTGGGCACTGCGAAGTCTGGCCAGCACTGGGCTGTGGCTTTCTTATCTATAGATGAGAATAGTGCCTGCCTTTTGGGGATCCAAAGGAAAGGGGGATGTTAGTAGCAGGGGGCCCTCCACTTGCAAGGTGGGTTGGTGTAATGTTGGGAGCACAGCTTGCGTGTGAGAAGGTAGCACTGAAGTAGAAATCTAGAGGTGTTGTTGCAAGGGTGAAGTGTGCTCCCTCTGCTTTCCTTGTGATGTCCCTTATTTCCCTATGTTTCTGTGGCCAGGGATATAGCTCAGTGGCACAGTGCCTGCCTGGCAACGCAAGGTTCCGAGTTCGATTCCCAGTACAAAAAAAAAAAACAACCTTATGTTATCTGTGAAAGATGGAAGACAAAAAAAGCCCCAAATCATCCTAAACCTGTTACCAGTGTCCAGAGGCCTTGCTGCAATTCCCTAAAGCACCTTGTGATGTATTTCATGTCTGTCTCCCACTGAAATACAGCGCTGATGGCACCGTGTCATGGAACTCCATCTTTTCACTCACAGTTCTCTCTCTCCACAGCTAGGCGCCTCCCTGGCATATCACAGGCACTGTGGACAGGGGCAGAGCTGCGGACTGGAAAGCGGAAGCAGAGAGCCAGGTCAGCTCAGCTACTCCAGGCCTCTGCTCCAGGCTGTCCCATGGCTCTGGCCCCAGAGCCCGGTGTTCTCAGCCCGCAGGAAGCTCTGGCAGAGGGCCACCTAAACTGAGGTGGTGGGTGCCCTGTGGCAGCTGCTGCCTCTGAGCGCCTGAAGGGGAAAGAAAATTGGGAACCTGGAGGGGGGAGGGCAGCAAGAAGCGTCACTGCAGATGGAGCTAAAAATAGACAGAAGAGGTGATGTCATCGGGTTCCCACAGCTTAGCACCACACACACACACACACTCAAAGACACAGGTACACACACACACACATGCACACTCACACTCATACAGGGAGGGAGGCTTCCAGTTTCCAGGGCCACAGGGGCAGGGAAGTTTGGTGAGTGTGTCTGTGTGTGTGTGTGTATGTGTACACCTGGGTTTGCATGAGGGTGATTGCAAGGGTCTGTGTCTATATGCTTCTACACTTTGGTTGCACGCCTGTTTGTGTCTGTGTGTTGATTTGTAGGAGTGTGTATGTACGGTTACATGTATTACGGGGAGGTTCTATGTGTTTTTTGTCAGTGCGTATCTGTTTATACCATATGCCTGCATGTATGTGTGTGTTGCATCGTGTATTTTTGAGTTCTGCATGTATCTGTGGACTGTGTCATGCATATTTATATGTAGGGGCTCCTTTGTGGGCCTTGGGCACTGGCCAGCTACCCTCTGGCTCTGGGTGATGGTCAGCAAACCCCCAACCCCATACCTTAAGGGGCCCAGCGCTGTCTGGGTACAATGTGGCAGCGAATTCCTACCTCACCTCTTTCTCTCCTCAGAGTCCCAGTCTCTGGCAAGCCGTGAAGTAGATGAACTTAGACAAAATTTATTTTGCCCTTACAGGCCGCAAAGGATATGACCCTAGATTCTTAAACCCCACCGGCCCAGGCCTCCAAATAATTCAAGGTTCAGTTTCACCCTCAACTCGCAAGATACTGGGACACACACCAAAAAATGCACAGAGCAAAATATTAGAGACAGAGACCCTCACAATGTTCCCAGCCACTATGACACAAGCCCATGGAGACACTCCTGACAGGAGTCCAGTTACACCTGATGACATATGGGCACACACTCAGAAATCCAAGTGGAAAATTCCCAAGCCAGAGAGCTCAGCTCCCTCCCCCCTTACTGAGCTCAAACTCCCTTTCTCCCGCCCCCAAGCATCTCAGCTCAGCTGCCTGTCCTGGAACCACTGACCTGAGAGGGAGGGGATGGCTGTGGCTGGAGGTGATAGGCTTCTGCACCCTCTCCTCCCTCAGGCTGCCCCCACCCCCTCCTGACCTTCATTCTTCTTAGGAGAGCAGTTGCCGAGCTCTGGCTCCTGGTCCCCTCACAAACACTCCTTGACACAGCCAGCCACAGAAGCACGCCGGATCACAAAGGCACATTAGGTCACGTGCACCTTGTACGCCCATTCTCCTGTCACACGCTCACTCAGACACACACCAGGAGCTGCACATACACACCGACCAGCACACGCAGAGGCACACCTACTGGAACATTCGTGGAATTGTCTTTTAATTTCTCTCTCTCTGATTTGTGCCTCCCTGTGCCTTTAAGATGTCTATGGAAGCCATTCAGCCTGTGAAGAAGGTAGTGTTAGATAGGAAAGACCTCTGTCTCATAGGGCAGGCCAAGAGGAGAGGACAGAAACACACGTGTGTGGCCAATCTTGTCCTGTCTTGTCACTACCCAAGTGTGATGCCTGCTGCCCTTGCTGAAGCCTGTCCCTGAGAGTATTCAGCCCCAACCCTGCCCTCACACCCCGCAGAGATGGCTCAAAATACCCAGTATGGAGTGAGGCAGTTTGAGCAGAATGATTGTATTTTGTGTTCACCATCTCCAGCCCCTTGGAGATGTGGGTCCAGAGCAGGCCAAGCTTCTGGGCATTCTAGAGGATGAGAAAGTTCCCAGATTGATGGAGAGGCCTGAAACCTGAGGAGAGAAAGAAGAGGAAAGGGTGTTTCTGGAAGTCCACTGCCCTTGGTTCACCCACTTCCCCAGGCCATCCACCTCCAGCTGCTCCACCCACTTCAGGCTCTTGCACTTCGAGATGCCTGCTTTCAAGACCCCTCTGTGGGCTGGGCATGGTGGCCCATGCCTGTAATCCCAGCACTCAGGAGACTGAGGCAGGAGGATCTTTGAGAGTTCCAGACCAACCTGGGCTACAAAGTGAGCTCAAGGCCAGCCTGAACTGCATAGCAAGACCCTGTCTCAAAAAGCCCAAAAAGGGGGCTGGGGATTTAGCTCAGTGGCATAGCCCCTGCCTGCCAAGCTCAAGGTCGTGAGTTCGATTCCCGGTACTGGAAAAAAACAAAACAAAACAAACAAAAAATCAAAAAGACCGAAAAAACAAAACAACAACAACAACAAAAAAACAACCTTCCGTGCCTGGGAGCTGAAATTTCACAATTTGTCCCTAGAGTTGATAAGCAGCACAGAGAAAAACGTCATTGCTCCTGCCTTTCACCCTCCCACACTCAGGCACAGGTCTGCCCACTCTGTATGCCCCCCTATTAACCTGGAGGTGAGAGGATCCACACACTGGTTGTGGCAGTGTGGGGGTCACTGATGTCAGTGCTCGTGGTGGCAAGATTGGTAGCAGCAGCTGGGCCTTGCTGTTTCTGCCGGTATCTTCTTCGGCTACACTTGAACATCTTGCGAGCACCAGGCCGGGGGCAGCCCGCACGTGACCTGCGGTAGGGGGACCTCGGGCCCCTAGGCCGAGGGGCACGGAGCAGGTGAGATGGCCCCATGGACACAGAACGCTTCTGCAGCTTCCTGGAGCAGCACTGCTGACCAGGGTAGCTGAGGCCTCTGTGACATACTGACCCCGCCTAAGGGTGCTGCTGTTTACCCCTGGCCCCTGCCCATGGCTCAGGCTCCCTCACAGTTCTCTTCACGGGGTCCTGCCCAAGAGCCAGACAATCTCAGCTTGGCCCTTTGGCAAAAGAAACACTTGGGGAAAATCACTCTTCTTTCATTCATAATATTAACGTTTATTGAGCCCTCACTATGTGCCAGACACATGTTGAGCAGTTTACAAACACATTCCCATTTAAACCACAAGGAGATTCTATCATTATCTCTATTTATGTACAATCCAGTCTTGTTATTCCCAGTAGTTGTGTTCCACAAAGTTACCATAAACATTGAGTTAACAAATACTAAACCAAGGGGCTGGGGATTTAGCTCAGCAGCACAGCGCCTGCCTGGCAAGCATAAGGTCGTGAGTTTGATTCCTAGTACCGGATGGGGGAAAAGAAATCCTCTGTTCTTTTTTTTTTTTTTTTTTTTTTTTGAGACAGGGTCTCGTTATGCAGTTCAGGCTGGCCTTGAGCTCACTTTGTAACCCAGGCTGGCCTCGAACTCACAGTGATGCTCCTGCCTCAGCCTCCCGAGTGCTGGGATTACAGGTGTGCGCCACCACGCCCGGCTCCCCTGTTCTATTTTAAAATATACATCACATTACTGACAACTGTGGACCCCTTACTGTGTAATAGAACATATAAACATATTTAAAAAAATACTAAACCATTACTCTGGGAAATGTACAGGTTTGGGGCAACTTTCTGGTCACATTTTTGCCAAGTCACTGCTACATAACCTGGTTTTATGTGTGAAGACACCTCATTTGATCTATCTTATTGAGTCGCTAACATTAAACTTATGGCCACAACACTACAACCTGTGCCTTAATCAAGTTTACCTGGCACACATCTTTTACCCGCTTCATAGCCTTCTTGTGCTTAGGAACTCTAAATAGTACTGCAACACTGAAACCAGGGGCTACTTGAGCCAGCAAAATCACCCAAAATTCACACAAAACTGTGAAAAACATGGCGCTAAGTAGACTGTCAAAAGAAATTTTGTTGATCAGCGCGGAAACAGGAAGGCAGACAGGACTGTCCGACAGACCTCAGCTGGAAATACTTGTGTTGGGTGACTCCAAATTTTTACCTCTCTAGACAAGCCCATGAATAACTGCGAAAGTTGTAAAAGTATTGCTTTGGGTTATGAATAAATTTTAGTAAGTGAATTCACAAACACAGAGTCTATGAATGAAATTGACTATATAAGGAAACTGAGCCAGGGTTAGTAGCGCACGCCTGTAATCCCAGCACTTGGGAGGCTGAGGCAGGAGCATCACTGCAAGTTGAAGGCTACACAGTGAGTTCAAGGCCAGCCTGAACTGCATAGCAAGGCCCTGTCTCAAAATAAAAGATTAAAAAATTTTTTAAAAATAAAATAAAATAAGGAGACTGAGGTTCAGGAGGTAAAGTCACACAATTAGAGACAGGCGGAGGTTGATGTCCACGATGATGGCGTCAAGGTCCGAAGCCCAAAGCATTTGTCATGTTTGTTTGTGATACTGGGGAGTCAAACCAAGGGACTTCCTCATTCTGGATAATTGAGCTGCATCCCTGGCTTTTTTTTTTTTTTTTGGTTTTGTTTTTTTTTTTCCAGTACCGGGAATCAAACTCAAGACCTTGCTCTTGCCAGGCAGGCTCTCTGCCGCTGAGCTAAACCCCCAGCCTGCCCTGGCTTTTTAAAAAACTTTATTTTGAAATAGGGTCTTGCTACACTGCCCAGGCTGGCCTCAAAATCTCAATCCTCCTGCCCCAGCCTCGTTGGGATTACAGGCATGCATCACCATGCTCCAAGTACTTATCTTTTGTTACTGTGTGCCCATTCACTCTGGAAATGTTCAGCAACAACTTCAGATGTGTTGGGCAGCAGGGCCAGATGAATGGGACGTGCTCTCAGTTCATTCTGAGATGAACAGGAAAACCGTGTGGAGAATTGGGGTAGGCAGGGATGTAAGAGGTGCTAAACCTGGGTTCCCTTTCTTGTACAGGTGGCTCTGCCTGCACTGCACTGAGCTGAGGGGTGTGGGACTTGCCCTTTTTCCCTGAAGCCCTTAACACCTTCTTCTTTTCCCTCTTCTGACCCTTCCCAGCCTCAGCCTACTGTTCTGCAGGAAACTCCTGGGAGACGGGGCGGGACCCTAGGCCCCACTCTGATGGCCTCACCTCCCCGACTCCAGCCTCTACTCTTGTTATCACAGTATCAAATATGACCTCAGCAGCCATTAGCCACACACCCGCCTCATGCCTTCCTGTTCTGCAGTCCTCTTTGTCAGGTCCTAGACCAAGGCCTCCTCCCCTGCTCCTTGTGGAAGCCAGCCCCACCTGCTTCTTTAGAGACTCCATCAAGGAGTGCTAGTGACATGGACTCTGGGCTGGGTATGTGTGCACACCTGTAATCCCAGCACTCTGGGAAGCTAAAGCAAGAAGGCTGCAAGTTCAAGCCCAGCCTGGGCAACTTAGTGACTTAGCAAGACCCTGTCTCAAGATAAGGAAACAAACAAACAAAAAGGCCAGGGATGTCACTCAGTGCAAAGGCCCTGGGTCTAGTCTCCTCTCTGAGGGTGTGTGTGTGAGAGAGAGTGAGACGTGGACTCTGGTGTCAGACTGACAAGTGGAATCCGGTTTTGCCATTTATAAGGCACATAACTGTGGCAAGTACTTAACCTTGTTGCTTTTCCATTTCCCTATATTTAAAATAGGGATTAAAAAGAAAGTATTTCAGGGTTACGGTGAAGAAGGGGAAAAAAAGAATACGTGTAATGCATTTTAAGCATGAGCTTTCTTTTTTTTTTTTTTTTTTGGTACCAGGAATTTTACTTGCCAGGCAGGCACTTATGCCGCTCAGCTATATCCCCAGCCCAAGCACGATCTTTCTTATTAGTGCAGTCTATATGTTTTGTTTTGTTTTGAAACAAGGTCTCCCTGTGTTGTCCAGGCTGGTCCTGACCTGGAGGCTCACATGATCCTTCCACCTCAGCCTGGAGAGTAGCCGAGGTTACTGGCATGCACCACTGTGCCTAATATTATTCTCTCTCTTGTGCTTCTTCAGCATTCTCCTTCCACAAATTAAACAAAAAAGAAATTAAGAATACACTTCCTCAGTGCTGGGCTGTAGCTCAGTGGTAGAACGCTTGCTTAGCATGTGTAAGGCCTTGGCTTCAATTCCCAACAGCACAAAAATAAATAAAAATACACAAGCCACTTCCTCCATCCCACATCCCCTCCAGCTGTGGCTGCTTCCCTCGGATTTCGCTCTGTGCTCATTCCCGTATGCCCCACAGCAGAAAGAAAATCTCATTTTAAAACCCCGTAACCGTTCTCTCCTACAGCCCAAGAAACAGAGGCTTAAAAACAGGTCTAAGAAATGCCTCCAGCAGTCACACAGCTAAGAAACCAGGATTCAAGCACCCGTCTGAGGAACTGGACAGCCAGGACTCTGCCTGTGCCTCTCTCGCAGGAGTGGCAGCGTGGGAAGTGAGGCGGCCCCAAGGGTTAGTGGGAATGGGGAGCGTCAAGCCTTGGAACTGGGGCGCCTCCTTTGTGGAACTGTGGTGCCCCCTGCTGGCAGAAAGGAAAGGGGTGCGCCTTGAGTGCTAGGGGAAGAGTGGAGTGGGGAGGAGGCAAGAAAAACAGGAAAAAGAAGAGGAAAGACTAAGGGAGGAAAAAAGGGAGGAAATTTAATGTTCGTGAAAGGAAGAGGACTAGAAATCATTTGCTACTCGGAGGACAGAGCAAAAGCTGCCAAACCTTGGTCATTTCCTTGAAAATGTGTGCGCACGTGTGTGTGTGTGTGTGTGTGTGTGTGTGTGTGTGTGTGTGCATATGTACACATCAGTAGCAGCAGAAGCACTGTGGATGTTTATGTGTGTGACTGTTTGATGTGTAAACATGGACGGCAGCCAGGCAGATGTGCGTGCGGCGAGCACAAAGGGCCCACAGGTAGCAGTGCAGTAGCAGATGGAGGGGAGAGGCAGGTGTGCACTGTTGTGTGAAGGGCACACGGAAGTTCTGCGCTCCACTTGCATTTAGCCCTACACCTTTCCTCCTTCAGATCGGAGAGGCAAAGCCCATGGGTGACACCTCCAGGCCCAAGCCTGTTGCTCTGTGGTGGTAGGAATCCATCTCCAGGCAGCAGGGGGCAGCAGGGAGGAGGGGAGGCTGCCCCGCCATGGGTGGGGCCCGGGGGCGGGCAGAAGGAGGCTTTTAAAGAGCCTTCCCCACCTGCAGGTGAGCAGTGGTGTAGGAGTGCCAACCTGCCCCTCTACCTGACCCCAGAGCTGCACCTCCCGCGAGCTGCTGTGCCCGGCAGCTCCCTCTCAGAACTTGCTGCCAAGAACCCTGAACAGGTAGGTGATGACTTTAGACAGGAGTATCCTCTGAGATGGTATCAACCTTGAAACAGGTTGGAGGAACTGGGAGCTGCGGAGAGGGTCCTGGGTGGGTTGGAGTTGGTCTGGGGAGGAGCCGGGATGCACAGATGCCAGGAAAGGGCATGGAGTGATCTGCAGTGCGGGAGTCAGGCTTGTGCTGCCTGTGCATGAACTTGGGGTGTTCGGATCTCAGCGTCAGGTGCACATAGAGGGTGTGAGTAGCAGAGTGGCTACAGGTGTCAGGGTGGGAACTGAGGAAAGTCTTCTGGTGTCAGGGTCCAGGAGTAAGGGAAGGCTGGTGAGATATGGGTCCAGGATACTGGGTCCTGGCGGGGCCAGCCCAGGGACAGGGGGACGCAAGGCTCTAACTCTCACATGTCTGCCTCCCAGGAGCCACCATGCAGTGCTTCAGCTTCATAAAGACCATAACGATCATCTTCAATACCGTCATCTTCGTAAGTACAAGGAGAGTGCTGCCTGTGGGGCTCCCTACAGGAGCCGAGCCCGAGCTGGGGAATGGATGACTGCTATGCCCAGACTGTGCCCTGCAAGTTTGCCCCTCAGAGTGGGACGCAGAGGTCTCCCCAAATGCTGATCTCTGGTCCTAGTAGCAGTGAGGTTACCACAGGGGGGAGTGGGGTTGAGAAGCTTTAGTTCAGGCCTTCCTTCCCTTCCGGGAGGTTTCAGCCCAGGCTTAGGGCAGGGGAGGATAAGCTAACAAGGATTCTCCCCTTTCTATGGGTACTGGAAGGAGGGGCTTGCCTAAGTTCACGTAGTGTATGTAGAAGGCAATTTAGGAGCCCTCTGTATGAGGGGAAGTTGAAAAAAGGCAGGGCTGCCTCCTTAGAGCAAAGGCTCTGCCTCAGGCACCCCTTATTCATTCAACATCCATTTATTGATGGGGCTGGGAATGTAGCTCAGTGGTATCTTACTTGCCTAGCATTTGTGAGGCCCTAGCTTTGAATCCCACAAACCTCAAAACAGAAACAAAAACAGAATATCCACTGATTAAGACTCTGCACTAGGTGCTGGGGTAGCAGGTAAGCAAGACATTCTCTGCTTTCCAGGGTCTCGGGTCCAGAAAGCCAAGTAAACAGCAAATCGCAATACGGTACGCCTGATTTCAACAGAGGGCTAAGGGAGCCCACAGGAGGGGCTTAAACCCTGCCTAGTGAGAGAATACTTCCTGGAGGAAATACCTGAAGCTGTGCATTTGCATTGGGTGGGGGAGCTATAAAGCATGTATAAAGATCCAGAGGTAGTGAAACTTGATATTGCTCAGAAAACCAGGAACAGACTGCGTAGGGTGTGTTAGAGCAGCAGGCAATGAGGCATAAACCCTGGAGATAGTGATAAAGATTAGGAGACAGTGGTAGAGATAAGGAGAAACGGACAAACCAGACAAAACACGAAGCCCTGGGATGGTGACTGAGGGATAGAAGAAGGGAGGAGGAAGTCAGTGGGGGTAGAGATGATGCCCATTTCTCTGGCATGAGGAACACGGGGTTGGAGGGGGTGTCCCACAGGCAGCTGGTTACCCAGCGGAGGTGCAGCTCAGATTGGAGCTGGCCAGGTACCCATAGGTGGCCCATGAAGCCACAGGAGTGTGTGAGAGCACTTAGGAAAGGTAAATCTGGGAAACTTGGATTTTTATGGATTTAGAAAAAAAAAAAAAAAAAAAAAAAAGCGCCTGCCTGGCAAGCACAAGGTCGTGAGTTCAGTTCCCGGTATGGATTTAAAAAAAAAAAAAAAAAAAAAAAAAAAACGGCTACCATGAAGGAGATGGAAAAGGAACAGAAAGGGAGAAGGGGGAAAGGAGAGCAAGATGGCAGAGACCCAGGAGATAAGACCCATGAAGTGCTCACTGCATTTGGCACATTGGAGCCACATTAAGCGAGTTAGAGAGATTAAATGTGTGTGTAGGGGGCTGGGGATTTAGCTTAGTGGCAAAGCACCTGCCTGGCAAGCACAAGGTCGTGAGTTCGATTCCTCATACCGGAAGAAACACACACACACACACACACACACATAAATAAATGTGTGTGCAAACTGACTTGGAGTACGGTTTGGAGTGATCAGGCTAGCATGAGTACACTCTAGTCCACCGTGGTCTGTACTTTGGGCTTCCTCTGGCTGCAAGAAATTAACTTTTATTCATTTGTCTGGAGGGAGCAAGGGGATTCCAGAAATATGGAGAGCAGGGACTCTGGCCTGAAGGAGTTAAAGGCAAATCTTGTTTGCCTCTGTTGCCCAGGCCTACCCACGCTCTCCTGAGCAGGGCAGGGCAGGGCAGACGGCAACCTCCTTGAAATCTGACCCTGCAGGCTACAAGCCCAGCTTTCGGGTCCTTAGGCAAACAACATACCTGAGATCCAGCCACAGTCTGCTACCATACTCCCAATCCTAACCTGAGCCTCTATAACTGGAAAGTGGAAACTGGGCACCAAGTGGGTATTAGGCTGATTTATCCACAGAAGCCCGGGGTCAGCAAGGCCTTGCCCTAAGAGCTGCGGCAACTGGGTAGGGCCTGGCCCCATCAGAGCTACAGGACGCCCTCTGAGGATCAGGGTTGAGTCCATGAGCCTTTAAGAGCAGCGCTGCCTGCGTTCCCACTCTGTTGCCTCAGTTTCCAGTTGTGAGGCAAGGAGGTCTAGGTGGATGAGGAACAGGAGGCCTGGCCTCTGATCTCAAAGCGGAGCCAGCTGGGGGCCCAGGGTGAGCAAACCTTCTCAGTGTCAGCCCTCTTCAAGGTTGGCAGCAGGTGTAAGCTTCGGCCCTGCCTTTGTTACTGTGGTGATGTTGTGTGTGCTCAAAACCACCACCTCTGTTTACCTGTCAGAGGACAGAAGCGTTCTAGGCACCCATAGTCCAGAAGGGAAATGACACACCGCTAGCCCTTCGCCTGCCATTTTTACCCCCAGCCATGTGTTGGGAGCCTGGCAACAGTCAGGGACAGTTTTGTCCTTCTTTCTCCCCTGTGGATATTTCTAGAAACCCTGGTCTCACTTATATCTGGTCAGGTGTGAGCCTACTGCTGGGTGTCCCAGCTGTCATCCTTCTGGCACTAAAGTGTATTTCCCTCCGTGTACAAACAGGTCATTAGATTCCCCAGCCAAGGAACGCGCGTTTCTTAGCTCCCACCCTGGGGTAAGTGGACGATGGGAGGCACTGGTCAGCACTGCTTCAAAGCCTGCCTCACTTCTCTGTTCCCAGCTCTGTGGTGCGGCCCTGCTGGCTGTGGGAATCTGGGTGTCAGTGGACGGGCCGTCCTTCGTGAAGATCTTCGGGCCACTGTCGTCCAGTGCCATGCAGTTTGTCAACGTGGGCTACTTCCTCATCGCCGCTGGTGTCGTGCTCTTTATTCTCGGTTTCCTGGGCTGCTATGGAGCTCTGTCTGAGAACAAGTGTGCGCTCATGATGGTGGGTCAGACCCAGCTCCACAGGCCTGTGACCAAGGGCCCCCTTGCCTTTGACACCAAACCCTGGGGACCCCAGAACACTACTTTGGACTCCGGGGGGTATCAGCAGAGGTGCTCCCTGCCTCACTTGTAGGGAGGGTGGGTGGGCTGGGGGAAGGAGAGCGTAAGAAACTGCCTTTCCCTAAAACCAGACCCCTATTCTCCACTTAGTTCTTCTTCATCCTCCTCCTCATCTTCATTGCTGAGGTTGCAGCTGCTGTGGTTGCTCTGGTGTACACCACAATGGTGAGCACCTGGGCTGGGGCAAGGGAGGAAGGCTGGGCAGAGCCTGCAAATGGGCCGCGGCCTGGGAAAGACCACCTTCCCCACCAGTCCCTGAACGCTGGCCTGCCCCACCCAGGCTGAGGAATTCCTGTCCATGCTGGCAGTGTCTACCATCAAGAAAGAGTATGGCGCCAGCAAAGACTTCACCCAAGTGTGGAACTCCACCATGGAAGGGGTAAGGTGGGCTGGGGGGATTTGAGGGTGGAGAGAAAGAAGCAAGGCCCTACTGACCCCCCACCCCACCTGTCTCCAGCTCAAGTGCTGTGGCTTCAAGAACTACACAGACTTTGAGGGGTCGCCCTACTTCAGAGATTATCAAGCCTTCCCTCCATTCTGCTGCGACAACAGCACAACCCTCTGTGACACGCAGACGGCCGAGGAAAGTAAAGTAGAGGTGTGAACTGGTATAGAAGGGTGGGGACCGTCTTCATGGCCTTAGAGTGGCGAACGAGGGTAGGACAGCTGCCAACTATAAATGTTGTCTCCTCTCCCCAAGGGTTGCTTCAAACAGCTTCTGTACAACATCCGAGCCAATGCCGTCACTGTGGGTGGTGTGGCAGCTGGAATTGGGGCCCTGGAGGTAAGCTGACAAGAAGGTTGGGACAGGGGTATCAATTGCCACCACACCTGGGCTTCTTGATTCATCTCTGAGGCCTCCCTGGAGGAGACAGACTTCTTTCTTGGTGCTGGGGATTGAACTCAGGACCCTGCACATGCTAAGCACATGTTCTACCACTGAGCTACATTCCCAGCCCCAAAGCCAGGCTTCTAACAGAGCTTCATGTGGGCCATCTGGGATGCATCGAACTGGAGGATTCCAATCATGCCCCTCCCCCTCTCTGCCCCTCCCCATCAGCTGGCTGCCATGATTGTATCCTTGTACCTGTACTGCAACCTGAAGTAAGTCTACTTCTGCCTCCGCCACTACTGCTGCCATGTGGGAACTGGGAAGAAGCGCCCTGGATCCAGGAGCAATGATCATGGTGGGGATGAGACCTCACAGTGTCACTTGGGCTGCGATGGACCTGTCCTTGCTGCTTCAGTCTCGGAGCTAAGTAGGGACCAACCCATTAGGCTGTGCCTGACTTTTCCTTCTATTGGTGTGGTTGAGGTGCACCTGATCCAGCTGGTCTGATGAAGCCAGTTCTCCTGGCCATCCTTCCACCTGTTCCTTCAAACCCTGACACTCCCTAGGCCAAGGGAAGCTCTTGATGATCTCAGTACTCTGCTGGAAATGAGAGAAAGGCAATTTATATCATGAGCATATCCAAAATCAACAGAGCCACAAGGTGGACGTATAGAAAGCACTTCAAATCTTATAAATTAATAAAAAGTTTCTGTTTGGACTCTGTATCCATGGGGAGAGGGATCCAGCTTGCCTAAACTGCCCTTGGATTTCCTGTGGGGCTGGCAACACAAAACCCCCCTTAGAAGCCAGGCAAAGGAAAGTGGGGTAGGGATTTACAGGCCTCGGAAGGGGCCTAGGAGGGATGGTCCAGAGAGCACCGAGGAAGTGATCCCTAGGCAGCTGGCCTTCTTAGAGCATGGAGGACTTTGGCCTGAAACTTCCCCTCCTAGGTGGGGGCACTGGACTGGAAAGCTATGAAAATAACAAGCTTGCCAGGCGTGGTGGCGCATGCCTGTAATCCCAGCACTCGGGAGGCTGAGGCAGGAGGATCACTGTGAGTTTGAGACCAGCCTGGCCTACAAAGTGAGCCCAATGCCAGCCTGAACAGCATAGCAAGACCCTGTCTCAAAAAGAAAAGAAAAGAACAAGCTTTTGCCCAAGTCAGGGAGGAGACCAGAACCATTATCAAGTCAGTGGGAAAGAGCCCCCGTCGGAAGGCCCACGGTGCCCACCCCTGACAACTTAGGCAAAGCCCCTGCTTCCAGGATCTTAGAACTTCATTTATTCTCTGGCATTGGCCTGTCCGGTGCTCTAAAGACTAATCTCATCTTAATTATTGCTATGCTTCAGGTTAGGGAACCAGGGCTTTAAAAGGTCAAGTAATTTGCCCGAACCCTAAGCCTTCAGTGAAGAACTAAGCCCGGATTCAGACCCAGCTGACTCTAGAGCCTGTTTCAGCCCTGGCCATGGGGACAGCCCTGCCTGATCGAGCACCTCACCACAGTGTCCCCGAGGAAGCCCGAACACTGTCGAACCACTCAGTCACTTAGGAGTGCCTAAGGAGGACGCTATGCCAGGAGGATGGAGCGCCGGCTCCAGGCAAAGCCCAGCATGACCATACAGTCTCTCCTCGCTGCCCTTGGACACTGCATCTGTCTTCCTGAACTTTCTCAGGGCAGCCCAGAACTGCTGAGCCCAGAAAAGGGCTGACATGGTCAGGGCCACAGAGCCTGAGAGCCAGTTTTGAGGTCAGACAAGGAGCCTGCTGGGGTGCCAGGCAGACTGAGGAACTGGCCACTCAGCCCTCTGCCTACGCTGTGCCTCACACACAACCCCTCCAGGTGCCTGTGTGGAAGCTGCAAGGGATTTGTTTGCCCAGGGCGGGCTTCCACCTCAACATGAGCTGATTTTCAACCTGGCTATTTTGCTACCTCAAACACTATCTCTAGCGCCAACAAACACCAACGGCGTCAGCATGGCGAGAAACGTCCAAGCCGTACACCGCTGATGCCTTTGCCAAGCCGAGCTCCAGCACCAGCAGGGGTAGCAGAAACAAAGAACAGACATCAAGGCAGGAATTCTAGGAAGTTCCTGCCTTCCTGGCCAAAGCTATGTACTCGCAGACCCTTTCTCAACAGGTACTCTACACTCCGATTCTGATCCTAAGTCCACAGAGCCTTTCAATCTCATGGTCTCCTTTCTTGGACCGTCTCACCCTCGGGACAATCCCATCCATTTTCTGGCGAATACTTAACTTAGATTTTCCTATGCTCTTTTGCATCCATGGGTATGTGCTAATTTGATAAAAACCCTGGCCCTGGGGCTGGGGATTTAGCTCAGCGGCAAAGCACCTGCCTGGCAAGCACAAGGTCGTGAGTTCAGTTCCAGGTACCGGAGAAAAACCAAAAAAAAAAAAAAAAAAAAAAAAAAAAAAAAAAACCCTGGCCCTTAGCTTTAGACAAATGCCCAGGTATGGCTTTCTGTATACAAAGTGACTAAGGGCCCCAAACACCCTCGCTCCTACACCTCAGCACAGCCCTAGCCCCCGCCTGCCTAGTATTCTCCCACAAAATCATCTCCACAAGATCCAGGGCCTGCCACACACTTTCTGCCTCAGCCGCTTCCCACCCCTACGTTCACCTGCCCTCCCATCCCCTCTGCCCCCTGAGGATCCCTTCTGTTCTCCCCTGCTGTCTACCTGGGGACAGATACCTGGTCCAGACAGGACGGGCACCAATGGTAGTTAAACAGTGAGGAAGCCCCATAGGGTAGCTGCTGGAGTTCAGCCCCTCAGGGCAGCATCCCAGCCCAGGAAGGAACCAGGGTGGGGCTAAAGTGAGTCTTGCTGGGGGGAGCCTGGGGAAAAACTCTGAAGCCTGGGACTTGGGCATCCCCTGGTGGCCAAATGGCCCTAAATGGAAAAGAAATCCTCTGAGACAGAAAGGAAAAAAGAATCCATCCAGAGGATTCTCTCCCTCTTTCTACCCCGCCCCCACGTAAATTTACAATCACGAGATGCGTCACCAGAGATTTTCTCCTTTTTTTAATCAATGACAACCTTATCCAGCTTTGGAAATCTGGACAAAGAGGCGCTGAAAGGCCTGGCCCAGTGTGTAGGGGTCTCTGAGTGAGTCTGTGTCAGCGCGTGGGTCCCAGCTGGGCCTGTCCACGGGATGGGCACAGCCGTTTCCTGAGTAAGCGCCAGCCCCACCCTCAGGCCAGCATTCTGGCCCAGAAGGGAATCAAGGCCCTCCAGCGAGGCCTATTTCCAAGGCCCTCAGGACAGTCAATAAATAGATTTAGATTCTGAGCCAGGGCTGTAGAAGGGGTGTACAAAAGGGGCATGATCAGCTGCCCAGGGATCCCCAAGATTCCTAGGTATTCTCCTGCCCTTCTCCAACATGGAAGTAAATAAATAGACCTTAAACTCAGAAAGCAGGGTGTTGGAGCAGGGGAACCTTCCCCTTAGAGTTAGTAATTAAGTCTCATGTTAAAAACAAACCAGCCCCAACCCCACCCCTACCAGCATCTACAAAATCCTACGGGATTGGGTGAAGGGCTAGCCTGCCTGGGGGTACACAGTACCCAGCCCTGCAGAGTTCTGGAGGAGGTTTCATGTCTGTTCTGCAGCTCCTGGGGCTCCCTCCTCCTTTGGAGGTGGCTCCAGGTATATCGGGATGACTGATGGCGGCTTCTTCACTCTGGAAGATACGCGACCATTACACGCAGGAAGAGGTGCTCAGCCACATCCCTCAGTCCCACTAGGCTCCCACCTCCCAGGGCACAAAAAGGTCCTCACGAGTAGGGAGAGGCCGGGACCCCCACCACCAGGAAGTGGTTCTTCTTCCGAAATAATCTCCACAGGCCCTTGTGGTTGCCGCGCACGTCCAGGTCCCAGATATGGAGGCACTGGTGGGGGGGAAGGCAGAGCGGCGTCAGGGAGCCGTGGAAAGAGACTGCTGAGAATTCAGCAGACTGAGAATTCTTCAGAAACATGAATTTGGACAAAGGGGTTGGGAGCATTCGGAGAGGTGAGGAGGTTCTGAGGCTGAACCTGCACCTCTGGCTGTGCGGGGAGGGGATGCTTCTGGGGAGGGGCGGGCGTTGCAGTACCTTGGCAAGCTGGGTCCAGGTGGTGAAGTCATCTTCTTTTTCCATTTGGATGAATGCCACATAGACGTGGCCCTCTGTGTCTGGCACGAAGGAGTCTTCACAAGGGTGCTTGCTGTGGTCCAGGACTTTGGCCTCACTGCAGTGGCGGGTGGAGGGGTCAGCCCAAGGCAGAGCACACTTCAGGGATGTGTCACACAGGGCCCTCAGCTTAGTTTAATGCTCTGCTACTGCCATCTTGAAATTCTTTTTTTTTTTTGGTACCAGGAATTGAACTCAGGACCTTTCACTTGCCAGGCAGGCGTTGCGCCAATGAGCTATATCCTTGGCCTGAAATTCTTTGTTTGTTTGTTTGTTTTGTCTTTTTGAGTCAGGGTCTCATTATGCAGTTCAGGCTGACTTTGACCTCACTTTGTAGCCCAGGCTGGTCTTGAACTCACAAGGATCCTCCTGCCTCAGCCTCCCGAGTGCTGGGATTACAGGTGTGTGCCACCACACCCGGCTTCTGGCCTGAAATTCTTAATACTGTCTGAACCCTGATTTTCACTTTGCATAGGGCCCCACAATTTACAGAGCCAAGGGGGCAGGAGATTTAGCTCAGTGGCACAGCACCTGCCTGGCAAGCGCAAGGTCGTGAGTTCAATTCCCAGTACCGGAAAGAACAAAACACAACAAAAAAACAAACAAAACAAAAAAATTTACAGAGCCAAGAACCCCCATATTTGACTCCTTACTCCCTGCCACACAGCCCAACTGCCCTAGGCCATACCTGAGTAACCTGTGAATTTCCACTTCATAAGCGTCTTTCTTCAGGCTGAGGAGAGGAAATGTGGGTCGGGAGGGGGCAGACCCAACAGTCCCATGGGCAGCAGTGGGCAGGGCAAGGGTCACAGGGGAAAACGGGGCAACAAGGAGTAAACACAGGCCTTGGGATTGAAAGGGACTGGTGAGGATTGGTCCCAAGTCTCCCCCACGTCCTCCTTTGGGCCCTGGCGCTGTCCCCACCTGTCCACATTTTGGAGCTGGACACTTGGAACCGTATTGAACTTGTGCTTCTTGAAGTAGGCCTCCTGCATTAGGCATAAGATGTACATCAGGGCCTCGTGTACCTGGCCCACACCCGCTCACTAACACACTCGTGTCTGCATATCTGCACAAGTTCTGGGCCTGGAAAGGAGCATCCGATGTCTTCCTGACTTTCCATCCTCTTTTTAGCATCCTTGGCAAACTCTTAGTAGCTTTAATACGAACCTTCACAATTTTTTGAGACAGGGTCTCACTACATGGTTCAGACTGGCTTTGAACTCACTATTAGCCTCAGACTTGTGACAATCCTCCTGCCTCAGCTTCCAGAAAGCTCAGATTACACGTGTGCACCACTACACCGAGCTGAACTTCACTATGGCCAGAGAGCTCATGCCCACATGGAAGCACATACTGCTGACGTGTGAAGCAGCCCCTGACCCTAGTGGTTCTCCCAGGGCTTGTTCTAGAGCCAGAAACTGGCCCTGTTGGGGATGGTAGGTCGGGGGACAGGCTAGGCCAGGAGGGGAGACACTGCTGTGACTCAAGTCACTTTTTTTTTGTCTTTTTGAGACAGGGTCTCGCTATGCAG